TTGAGGCTTGGGGTGATCCTAATGCCTAAATATTTAAAGCCTGTTGTAGTTGTTTTAAATGGGGTGGCCACCACAGGGCTTCTTCTTTCTTCTTCATTAAGAAACATTAATTCTGATTTAGATTTGTTAATTTTGTATCCTGAAAATTCTCCAAATGTTTTTATTAACGTTACTAAATTAGGGATACTATCTTTCAGATTAGTCAAAAAAAATATAATATCATCTGCAAATAAAGAAATTAGATGGTCTCTTCCTCCAATTCTTATCCCTGATATCCCTGCATTTGCTCTCACAGCTATGGCCAGAAGTTCTATTGCTAACACAAAGAGAATTGGCGACAGAGGGCAGCCCTGCCTGGTTGATCGCTGTAAATTAAAGGGTTTTGATACGTTATTATTAGTTAAAACTTGTGCTGTTGGATGTGTATACAATAATCGGATCCATTTCAGGAATGTTTCACCTAGTCCATATCTGGGGAGCACCTGCAAGAGATAATTCCATTCTATTCTATCGAAGGCTTTGCACGCATCTAGTGATAGCAGCGCAGTGTCCTCCCTATTGTTTTTCTCATAAAGTACATTGAGGACACGTCTTATATTATGATAGCCTTGTCTCGTTTTAACAAAACCTTGTTGATCGTCTGTTATCAAATTAGGCACATATTTATCTAGTCTCCTAGAGAGTGCTTTACATAAAATCTTCGTATCACATCCCATAAGACTAATTCCCCTATAAGAGGAGCATTCAGTCGGAGGCTCATTTGGCTTCAATAAAAGGGTTATTGTAGCTAATCTCAGTGAGTCTGGGAGTACTCCGGACTTATATGACTCCTCATACACGTTAAGAAGTGGCTGCATTAATTTATTTTTAAATGTTTTATAGAATTCCATTGGAAGTCCATCAGGACCAGGCGTTTTACCGCTATTCAGGTCGTCTATGGCTTCTGACAGGTCTTTTATTGTTAAAGGACTATCAAGGGCTGTTTTATCCTCTTCTGAGAGGGTTTGAAATTTTAACTGATCAAGAAATGCATCTTGTGTTTCTCTGTTTCCTGTATATTCAGACTGGTATAAAGATTGATAAAACTCTCTGAAATTTTCGTTTATTTTTAAAGGGTCTGTTGTTATAATACCCGATTTGGACTTTATGTGGGTGATGGCCTTTTCTGCTTGCATCTTTTTTATCCTCCAGGCCAATAATTTTCCTGCCTTCTCTCCTTGGTCATAAAATAATTGTTTAGTCCACATTAAACTTTTTG